TGACTGCCTGGATGGCACGGATGAACCCAGCACATGTGGTAAGTCACATGCAGCTGCTGGTTGCTGCCCAGCTGGGAGGGGAGCCACAGAGCTGTCTTGCCTCATGTCACCCTTTGCTGTATCCCCACAGGTCGGAGCTGCTTTGTACGCAACGGGGGCTGTGCAGAGACATGTACTGACACGCACTGGGGAGTGCAGTGCTCCTGTGGGGCTGGCTGGGTGCTGCAGGCAGATGGGCAAAGTTGTGCTGGTAAGGGGAGGTCAGGGTGCATGTGCTTCCGTGACGTGTGGCATTGGCCACTGACAGCAGTGTCTCCACAGAGCCCATGCTTCTGGGGAAGCACCTGCCTCTGCCCTGCTCCTGCCTGTGTGTCACACCTGGGCCCATAAAGATTGTGTCTAGATAATGTCCCAGCAACAGCTGGTGCACTATGGGGCTGAGGCCTATGTTCTGGTATCTAGACAGCTTGCCTGTAGTCCCAGGGGAGCAGTGGCAATGCTGTCTGGGGCAGGCTGCTGACCTCACCTATCCATGCAGATGTGGACGAGTGCTCTCTGGAGTACAGCCCCTGCAGCCAGTTGTGCACCAACACCCCAGGCACTTTCAGCTGTGCATGTCTCCAGGGCTACACCCTGCGTCACGGCACCGCCTGTGAAGTGGCAGGTAGGGAGAGGAGGGGAACCCAGGCTGGACGAGGGCTAGGCAGTGCCCCCCGCTAGCCATGTCCCTGGTCAATGAGTGACTTCCCTCTCACCCTGGCAGACAATTCAACACAGATCCTGGTGGCCGTGGGGCAGGACCTGGCAGTTCTGGATGTACGGACCCAAGCCTACAGGCCCCTGCTCTCCACTGAGACCGAGCCCCGTGCCCTTGTGTATGACCTGCTCCAAGAAACCTACTACTGGCTGACAGAGGATGGAGAGCTCCGTGTTCATCACCCGGGGCAAGGCACACAGCCCCTCTATGCAGGTGAGGAGGACCAAGCGTGCTGTGTGCTGTAGCAGGGCTGAGATGGGTGCTGAGAGCTGGCCTGCAGCCCCAGTACTGATTTTCCTGTATAGAGGAAGGGGCAGCCTGAGTTTGCCACACAGCCTGGAGCAGGTGTGCCTTAAAACTGCTCTGTCTCTACAGATGCTGGAGAGGTGAACAGCATCTCTGTGGACTGGTTCACAGGGCAACTGTACTGGGCCAGCAGCCATCCCCCAGCCATCTGTGCAGGGCTGGGTGATGGCCGTGGTTACGTGACAGTGCTGGGGAAGGACATTGCACCAGAGCAGCTGACAGTACATCCAGCTGCAAGGTGAGCAGTGAATGAGCCAGGGTTGGCCCAGGCTTCTGGGATTGCAGTGCTGGTGCTGACCATGCAGTGCCTGCTGTGGGGCATGGCAGCATTGGTATCATCCTGTGAAGTGGGTGCTAAGTCCCTGCCCCCAGGTCCCTGTACTGGGTCAACCGTGGACAGAGGGGCCGGACAGTCATTGCTGCAGCTGGCATGGATGGCTCAAACTGGCGGGAGCTCACAGTTGTGTCCATGGAGGAGCCTGTGGGGCTGAGCCTGGACCATGTGGCTGGCAGGCTGTACTGGATCAGCGAGTACAAGGAGGTAGGGATGAGGGGCAGCAGGGCTCTCTCCCCCCCAGGGAGATGATGAGGTGGGAGTTGAGAGGATGGCCTTGGTTTCCACTGTGTCCATGGCCAAAGCATGGGAGGGAGCAGGGAGCGGTGCCTAGGTCTGGCATACGTCCCTGAGCTGGGAGGAGAAGGGCCAATGTGTGGGGATGCCACATGGCCACCATACCTTGCCTTGTCCCCAGTCCATCGAGACACTGCGGGTGGATGGCAGCGGGCGTCACTCCTTCCACGCTGTTTTGCGGAGCCACACGGAGCCACTGGGCCTGGCCGTGTTTGAGAGCCGGTTCTTCTGGACCGATGGCACAGAGCTGGTGTCAGCCACCTGGGCCTCGCCCCAGGACCATGCAGTGCTGCTCCGTGCCTCTATCTCAGCTTTCACTGTGCTGCACGCACTGCAGCAGCCTCCCAGTGAGTACTTGCAGGCACTGCATTGCTGCAGGGCTGGCAGCATGGCAGCAACCCCCACTAATCCCTGGGTTCTAGGGAAGGCTCACTGGGTCCTGGAGCTCACCAGGTCCTGCCCAATGGTTTGCCTGGTCCTGTGATGAGGGATTGTGGGGTTGGTACAGAGGGGACCTATGAAACTGAAGGAAAGGCCCATGGCTTTTGGTAAACCTGAGGCCCCTTAACTCACATGACATTGCTACCCTGCCTCCAGCCCTTATCCAGTCCCAGGACAACCTGTGGCTTTTGGGGATTTGGAGAGATACTGGGGTCATGACTGCCTGAGCTTTTAACATTCTCTTGCTCCCAGGGGACACTGCTGCATGTGCTCTGGGCCTGTGTAGTCACCTATGCCTCCTGTCCCCTGTGCATCCTCGGGGCTACAAGTGTGCATGTCCAGAGGGCCTCTTCCTCCTGCCCTCAGGGAAGTGTGCAGGTGAGCAGGGTCTGGCTCTTTGGGGTGGTATACATCCATGTGGGAGTTGGAGGAGGGCAGTAATGAGCTGTGGCTTTGGTGGGATGAGGTTCCCAGCACACACCAGTGCTGTGACATTTCTGTCTTGGCTCATTCTGGTGACTCCGTCCAGTGTCCCTGAGGCTGTGCTCACACACTGCCCCTTATGCTCTGCAGAGCTGTCCATCGTGTATGCATCAGAAAAGGCCATCTCCCTGGTGCATGTGGGCCCTGGAACACACGCCAAACAGGTGCAGGAGTGGCAGGAGCCCTTCCACCTGCAAGATGTGGACTGGCAGAGGTCAGTGCTCTATGGGACAGATGACCATGGGACTCTGCTGCATGTTGTGGGCCACCCTGGCAGGAGAGAGGCCATTGTGACTGGGCTGCCAGGTGAGAGACTCTATGGGGTGATAGAGGGCACACTCCCTTTCCTGGTACTTCCTGAACCCTGAGGATCTCCTGGGTGCAGAGCACAGTGGTCTGAGTGGTCTGTGCCCAGCACAGTGAGGCCATGTCAAGGCAGTGGGCAGCTGTGCCCTGGGTTTAGGGTCTAGGGGCACCCAGACAGAGATGCAGGGTCATGGGACAGCCTCATAACTGCTTGCCTGCCTGCTCTTGCCAAGTCTGCTCTGCCCGTGTGGACATCCGCTCCGGGGACCTGTACTGGCTTGCATGTAACCGGAGGGACATCGGCGTGATCCGGACATCTGACAAGTCCCCGCGCATCCTGCACCGTGCTCGCAGCAGCATCCAGCACCTCTTCCTGGACTGGCAGCGTGGTGCTCTGTACTGGCTGGCCCGTGGGCAACCCCTGCAGGCACTGAGTCTGGCGGGGGGTGCTCCATGGGATGCCTGGAATGAGACGTGGCCTGGAGACCTGCCTGCGGCCATGGACAGCAGAGCCTTCAGTGTGCTCTGGAGCTCAGCCCTGGGTGAGCCCTGGTGGTATCTGAAGCAGGGAGTGGAGGTGGTGGATGTAGGCAGGGGTGATCAGCCATGTCCCACATGCAGCAGTTCCCTGCCTGGGCAGTGGGGTGCTCATGGGACAGACTCAGGACCCTGGCCTCAGCCACGAGGTCCCTGCCATAGCTGTGGGTTGTGGGGTGCAGGGTGAGCCATGAGGGGTGCAGGCAGGCTCTAGGTCCTACCATGCCTCTACCTCACAGGCCTGCAGGCACTGAGTCTGACCAAGCGGCAAGCAGTCACCCTGGCACCCAGCTGGTCCCATGGCCTCATGGCTGCCTTTGAGCCATACCTGGTGTCAGCAAATGGGACAGCTCTGCTGCTGTGGGACCGGAGGACACTGGCCCTTGTTCTGTCCCTGCCGGCAGTGGGTGTGCAGGGAGTGGTGGCCTTCGTGGGCTCAGAGGTGCAGACTGGTAAGAATGGCCATGGCTTTGTGCCTGGTGCTGCTGTAGCTGGGTGGCCTATGCTACTCTGAGCTGTGGCAGGGTGCCTGGCTACTGCTGGTCATGTGGGGTGCTGTGGGAGATGCCTGGAGTGTGGGGAGGGTATGGTCCCAACAAATTCGAAATCCTCTGCCAGTGTCACCAAGCAAAGGGTCTGCCGTGCCACTCCTTCCACCTGTGACCACCACTATGAGGACAACCACAAGCACCACTGCTGCTCGGCCTACCACCTCTACCACAACACCACTGCCAAGCCAGACCACCACTGCACTCAGCACTACTCCTGCACCAACCAGCAAGGCTACCACATCACAAACCACCAGCAGACAGCCCACATCAAAGAAGACCACCTCTGCACCAACCACTGCCCGGACCACACTGACCAAGACTACCACTGTCCAGCCAGCCACCAGCACCACTCGATCTTTTACAACTAAGATCACTGCCCTACAGCCAACCACAACCACCCCAAGCTCAAACAGTTCTGCACGGGTGGTAACACCTACCCCACCCCTCCAGTCCAGCACTGCACACCCCCTGACCCCAGTTCTTCATCTGTCCTGTTCTCGCACGCATGTGCCCTGCCGTGATGGCACTGGGTGTGTGGCCCAGGAGTACCTGTGTGATGGGGAGAAGGACTGTGCAGATGGCTCTGATGAGGATGGGTGTGCCCAGCTCTGCAACACCCCAGGTAGGAGCCATTCTTCTGTCCCCTGTGCAGCTGGGTCACCCTGTGCCAGGGCTTCTGGCTGCTTCCTAGTGGGGTTTTGGGACAGGGTCCTGGTAAAGTCTGTGTCCTGGGCTCTGTTGCTTATGATGTGACATACTGGTTCCTTCTGAGCTTGGCACCAGGCTTGAAGTGCTGTTGGAAAAGGATAGAGTTGATCTCACTGCTCATAGTAGTCTAGACGTGGCTGAGTTCAGACTGCCGCAATCGCCTTGCTCAGGGCCTAGGCTTCTGGAATTGCACTGTCTAGGAGGGACCAAGCCTTGTCACTTGTGGGGCCTTTCTAAGTCTCTGAAGGGGTAGCAGAGGGTCTGGGCACCCTGGCTGCCTTCTGCAGGCAGTGCAAAGCCCCTTGTCTCCCCAGGGGCCTTCCACTGTGCGAGCGGAGCCGTGTGCGTCAGGCCGGAAGAGCACTGCGATGGGGTGCCACAGTGTCCCGACGGCTCGGATGAGACAGGCTGCTGGACCCCCACGCAGGAGTGTGCCCTGCGCTGCGACGCTGCCACCCGCTGCATCCCCAGGAGCTGGCTGTGTGATGGCCATGCCGACTGCCTGGACCACACGGATGAGCAGGGCTGTGGTAAGACCATGGGGCTGAACGGGATGGACTGTTGGGGTTGCCTGCCCCACAGGTGGATGCACTAGGTTTCTTGTGGGTCCAGGAGAAGGCACTGCCCAGGGCAACCTGCTGAGAGGATGGGGACAGTGCCCCTGCTCAGCCCTGGCCTTTGCCCACAGTGCTGAAGGAGTGTGGTCCGGCTGAGTTTTCCTGTCGGAGCGGGCAGTGCGTGGCCCTGGCCCTGCACTGCGATGGTGACCACGATTGCCAGGATGGCTCAGATGAGGAGGGCTGTGCTGTGCCCCGGCCGCTGCTCTGCCGTGAGGGTGAGGTGACGTGTTCCCACAGTGGGGAGTGTGTGCCAGAGGCCTGGCGCTGTGATGGTGCTGCTGACTGTGGGGATGGCTCAGACGAGCAGGTGAGTGGAGCAGTGGGGACACAGCCTGTCCCCATGCATGCCCAGGAGGGCGGGTAGCCCTTTTCACCCTCTGCCTTGCAGGGCTGCCCTTGGGAGGAAGAGCTGTGTGAGGACCAGCAGTGGGGCTGCTCCCGTGGCCATGAGTGCATCCCCGATGTCTGGCGCTGTGATGGAGAGACTGACTGCACTGATGGCAGTGATGAGGCTGGCTGTGAGCAACACCCTTATTTTATTCCCTGTCTCACTCAGGGGTGCCTGGTGGGTGCCCAGCTCGGAGGGAGATGGGTATGTGTCCATGCTGAGGTGAAGGGCCCCATATGCTGGCTGCCTATTCCCAGCAGCTGTGGTGGCTCCAGGTCTTGAGTAGCTGTTCTCCCTGCAGGGGCCAGTATCCTTTGTGTTAATATAGTCTAAAGCCAGGCTACTGCCACAGCTCTGAATGTGGCTGCAATGAGCTCTGGGCAGCCCCTGGGAGCAGCTAAATCTGCCCCAAATGGGCAAAAGGAGCTGGTGGATGAGGCTCAGAGCAGCCTTCCCCACATGTCCCTGCAGGCCACCCTGCTCCTTGCCAGAGTAATGAGTACCCCTGTGGGCTGGGGTCCTGCCTGAATGCATCCCTGGTGTGCAACGGCCGGCAGGACTGTGCGGATGGCTCAGACGAGGGGGGGAACTGCTCTGTGCCCTGCCAGCGGTCCTGCACTCATCTCTGCTACTCCTCGCCCCAGGGCCCTGTGAGTGCCAGCAGCACTGGGGCAGGGGCTTGTCATGCCATGATGCCCTGCTGCAGCTGCAGAAGGGAGCCTCGTGTCCCCAGGGTAGGCAGCTGATGGTGCCTTTTCCCCCAGCGGTGCTGGTGCGGCCCAGGCTATCGCCTTGCTGTGGATGGTCTGTCCTGCATGGACATAGATGAGTGCACGGAGTGGGGCAAGGGAGCCTGCAGCCAGACATGCCTCAATGTCCCAGGGTCCTACAGCTGTGCCTGTCTCCCTGGCTATCTGCTGGAGCCCGATGGCCACATCTGCAAACTCACTGGTAAGTCCTGGGGTGGCCAAGCAGTGCTGAGGCCAGCTCTGGCCCTCTGAGATACACTAGGGGCTGGTGGATACTTGTCCCCCTGTGTCTGCTGCCCATGGGAAACCTCATAGTCCTGTGAATGGGCTGAGTCCCAGCAAGCTCCCATGCCTGAGAGTGCTGTGTCATTTGCCTGCATGTGCTGGGACCATGGGACCATTAGTGCTGAGCAGGGTCCATGTGGCTCTGTCCCCCAGGACCAGAGCCCAAGTTGCTGGTGGCTGTGCAGTCCGAGGTGTTGTCCTATGGCCTGCGGAGTGGCCATGAGGAGGTGGTGCTGGCCACTGACAAGGATCGTGTTGTCTTCTCACTTGACTATGACTTGGTGGAAAGGAAAGTCTTCTGGATGGACCTGGCCACAGAGAGCATTCGCTGGCAGGATCTCAGCTCAGGAAAGAAAGGCACACTGGTGAAAGGTGGGTTGTGACAACGTGGGGTTAGCAGGGCTGGCCTCCCCGCACTGTGCATGTTGCAGTGGGGTGCCAAGCTGTGATCCCTTATGTGGAGAAGCACTAGTGGGAGCAAAGTTGGGAAGAGCCAGAGCTCCTGGGATGGAGGCACCTGGGCTGGGAGCATTATGCTGAAGGGCCATGCAGCTGTCACTCCACACAGGTGCTGCCTCTTGGATGCATTTCAGGTGTGAGATCAGACTGTATAGCAGTGGACTGGCTTGGGAGGAACCTGTACTGGACAGATGGAGTAGCAGGGCAGGTGCTGGCCACTCGCTTGGGGGCTGCCTGGCAAGGGATACCAGAGTACACCGTGGTGATGGATGGAGACCTGGACCAGCCCCACTCTCTGGTGCTCCAGCCTCTGGCAGGGTAAGTTTGGGACAAGAGGACATGGGGACCTCCTTGCCATCCCTGCCCTGCCCCATTTTCCTCTGTGGAAGCAGATGAGAGGCTGGGGAAGAGGTGGGATGGCTTCATCTTGGTGCTGTGGGGACTGCATGACAAGAGAAGAAAGGGCCCAGACACCTGCCCCTGCCCTGCATGGAGTTCTCAATACACCCATGATGAGAAGGGAAAAGCTCCAGGCTGCTTTTCTGGGCTGCCTTGGTGCTGGGTCAATGCTGTCTCAGGTCCATAGGTTCGTACCTGTCTTCCCACTAGGCTGATGTACTGGTCAGAGGTGGGGAGCCACTCACGGCTGATGGAGGCCAGCATGGATGGGAGTTGGCGGCATGTGCTGCTGGCCCAGGGACTGGGCTGGCCCACAGCACTGGCCCTCGACCTCCCCACCCAGAGAATCTTCTGGCTGGATGAAAAGCTGGGCAGTGTTGGTTCTGCACGTCTGGATGGCAGCAGTGTGAAGGTGCGGTGGGGCACTGATGATGGGGCTCTGATGGGGACCAGGGTGGGCACTGACAGCCTCTCTGATAGGTCCTGAAGCTGCAGTGGGTCCAGAGCCCCTTTGCAGCAGCTGTGTGCGAGGGGCAGCTCTACTGGTCGGAGAGGAAGACATGGTCTGTGCAGCAGGTGGACAAGGCCAGCGGCAAGAACAGGACTGTGCTGCTCAAACGGCACGGGCAGCCCCATGGCCTCCAGGTACCTTCTTGGGGAGCCCCAAGCCCTGCTGTGCCTGCTCTGCTGATCTTCCATCCTGCACAGTGCTGTTGTCCTCTGAGTGAGGAGGCACTGGGAGCATCTCTGCCTCACCATCTGCCCCAAGCTGGGCGGTGTGTGGGTGTTGGTAGCATGGTGTGCTGTCAGTCGTGCTCAGCTCTGCCGGCAGGTGCTGACTGAGCTGAGGCTGAGCCTGCTGTCCTACAGGTGATGCACCCAGCCCTGCGGCCTGCAGCCCCCAACCCATGTGAGACACGCGGCTGCTCCCACCTGTGCCTGCTGAGCGCCAGGCACACTGGGCAGTGCCGCTGCCCTGCTGGGCTGACGCTGGCCGCCAATGAGACTACCTGTCTGCCCATCCGTGATTCAGCCTTTGCCCTCCTGGTCTCACCGGCAGCTGTGGCACAGGTACCATCCTTGAGCCAGCCTTGGAGGCTGCTGTCCTCACTGCTGTCAGGGAAGAGGGGTTCCCATCCTAGTGCTGCCTCTTCCTTCAGGTCTACCTGAAGGACCTGCCCGCATCAGCTGGATCCCAAGGGCTTCCCCCGCACCGAGCCCTGCCTTTGGCCAAGGTGAGCCGCCTGATAGCTGTTGACTATGCAGTGAAAGACAAGAGTTTGTACTTTGCAGAAGTGGGAGGCAATTCCATCGGAATGCTGCGCATGAAGGACTGGGGACGGCTGTCCTGGAAGAAGGCAGTAGCTGTGGAGGGCACGGTGACATCCCTGGCCTTGGACTGGCTGAGTGGGAACCTTTACTGGATTGGGGGACAGCCACCCATCATCCATGTGGCAGCTCCTAGGGGGCGGTGGGCCCTGGCACTACTCAGCGAGGGGCTGCAGGGTGCTGCCTGGCTGGCACTGTGTCCTCGTGCTTCCACCATGTGCTTTGTCACAGCAGCTGGCAGCCATGGGCGTGGCGCTGTGGTGGAGTGTGCGGCCATGGATGGCACTGGCCGGAGAGCGGTCTGGAAGAGAGCCCGGGCTCCCACTGGCCTTGCCTTTGGGGGTGCTGGCACCAGGCTGTACTGGGCAGACCATGGTGAGTGAGGACTGAGCCGGGACACTGCAGCAGCTCAGTCTGCAAAGCACACCCTGGCACAGCGCTGAGGGGTGGCTCGGAGCCCTCTCTGTCACCACCCTGAAGCCTCTCCATCTGGGCCTTGCAGAAAGAGGTACCATCAGCAGTGTTGAGCTGGATGGATCCCGCTTCCGGCTGGTGCGGGAAGGGTTGCATGGTCTCTCGCTCTTTGCCGTAGGAGAAGGCTTTCTGCTCTGGAGCACAACCTCTACCAATGGTAGGTCTGTCTGCTGTGCTTTGCCCAGCTCCTCCTACTGCACTAGGACACGGGGTTCTGCCAGTCCCTCTGGGGTGCGGGCTTGCCCCTCTATGAGCTGAAGGGCAAGCTAGGGGACCTCCCAGCTGAGGCACCCCTGTGGGAGGAGGTGGAGCAGTGCTGACCCCATGTGTCTCCAGGCTCCAGCAAGATCTGGCACAGCCGGCTGGAGCAGGCTGAGAGCTGGTGGTTCCTGATGGAGCAGGAGCTGGTAACCATGAGGATTTACAGCCAGTTCTCACAGGAAGGTGGGTGTGGGACTGCCCCAGCCCAGGGCATCTGTGGGTTTCAGCTGTGCCTTGAGGTGGCCATGCCAACCAGTGCTGTTTTGGCAGGCACCAATGGCTGTGCGAAGAGCAATGGGGGCTGTGCCCAGCTCTGCCTGCCCAACCCTGCAGGGCGGCAGTGCCGCTGCTCCCCCGGATACCACCTGGTGCATGGGGCAGCGTGTGCGCTGGCACCACCTTGCCCCACCCCGCTGCAGGCCTGCCCTGACCTCCAGAGCTGCATTTCCAGAGAGCAGGTCTGTGATGGGCACCCCGACTGTGCCGACGGCTCCGATGAGTCTGACTGTGAGTGCCTGCCCACAGCTGGGGCATGCTGGGGCCCTGGGCATGGGACAGCCTGCCCAGTCTCCCCCAGTTTGGGAAGAGGGTCTTACCTGAGTCTCTGCTGATCCATGCCCATCCCTCCAGGCACCTCAGTGAAGGTGGGAACGCAAGTCCCTGCAGTGGCACCATCAGGAATGTCCCACATAGAACAGACACCAGTCTCATCCATAGCTGCACCCCAGCCGTGGCAGCCCCTCCCCAGCCTATCTACAGCCCCTGGTCCCCAGGAGCATGGAGAGCCCTTCGTGGAACCCCCCAGCACAGAGGAGGTGCTGGGGGCTGTGCCCTGCAGCAGCGAGACATGCAACCTGCGTGGGGACTGTGCCATCGAGGCTGGCCAAGTGACGTGCCACTGCGCCCTGGGCTATCGTGGTGACTACTGCGAGGAGGCCGAGGTGCAGCCCCTGGCAGGACCCATTGTCCTGGGGGTGGCCGTGCTCCTGCTGCTCGCTGCTGCTGCTGTGGGGGCCCTGGCCTACATGCGGAGACGGGACAGGCGGAGGAGGTGAGCTCTGGGGCTGGACTGAGCCAGGTACAACTGGGAATGGAGAGGGACAGGGTCTCCTTGCCTAGGAACAGTGTGGAGTCCTGATGCACTCCTGGGTTTTATGGAAACCTCCAATCACCCCAGCAGGCTGTTATTGGGGGCTGTGGCAGAACTTTGGGATCTGCCCCATCTCTAGGAGTTGGCCATGCCATTCTCAGTGTACATTTTTCCCTCTCCAGGACCTCGAGCACCGCTTCCACTCGGGTGCTGACCCTGTACCACCGTGAAAGTGATCCAGAGGAAGAGGATGAGGAGGAGGAAGAGCTTCCCCCCAAGAGTGATACATTTGTGAATGAAGCTTACGAAGGGAAAGAGGTGAGTAGGATCTGGAGCAGGCCCTGCTAGGGACCCCTCTGCCACCCTGCAGTGCCCCAGGGCCCAGTGCTGGCATGGTGCCCACTCCTGAGGCAAGTTCTGCCCTCCTGCTGAAGGAGAGGGGCAAGACCAGGGGTGTCTAGAGTCTGACAGGACTGTCCCACTGCCTGTGGCTGCACTCCCTGTGCCAAGGTGTGGGGTGGGCTTAGAGAGGTTGGGTCAGACTCAGCCCTGATACACCCATCTGTGATTTTTGCAGGAGCTGCCAGCCCTGCTGAGGAAAGGACCATCTCACATCAACACCGTAATTTCATAAAGGAACGTTGTGCAGCATCTCTTGTGCCATTGTGGTTTGTGAGTGGGCCAGAGAGGGGGGATTGGCTTGCTCTTTCTAGATGTCTAAGACCTAGGGAATGTAAGAGTGATGACAAAAAATGTTTGGGGGGTTTATCAGGAAGTCTCCAAGTCCAACACACTCTCTGAGACTGTTCCTTGAGTACTGTCCCTCTGCAGCAAGGCTTAGCTTGCTGACCAGGGTGCTTTGGGCTCACCTTGTATAAGAATCTGGCCAAATAACTCTGCAAGGAAGCTGGCTTGGCTCTTACCTTGTTATGTAGGGGGCTGAGAAAGATATAGTGGAGTTCTGACCTCCTGAGTGTCCCTTACAAACCAGTGAGACCAGTTTTACCACCTCACACCAAGCTAATTTTGAAAGGGGAAATAAATGCTATTTTTTTCTCCTTGATCTTCCTCCCCCCACCCTCCCCACTCCACCCTGAAGGGGCTGTGCTCCAGGAAGGACTGACCATGGGGGAAAAGTCCTTTGGGAAAGTGCTATAAAAGCTAGCTGTGTCCTTTTACAGACCTTTCTTCCCTGCTTCAGGCAAAACAGGGAAGTTGGGTGAGCCGTGCCCACTGGCTCTCAGCCCAACCTGCCTGGCAGAAAGCCCATAACCATCCCACAGCACAAACCCATTGCTTTGAATTTATTTTGCTGTTTGCACAGTCCTGAGATGGGCAGAGACGTGAGACAGGTGTTTCCCTCCCCTACTGCCAGCTCTGAAGGTTCTGACCTGTATGTCGCTTACATGGGAACACCAAAGCTGTCTCTGCCCAAGCTGCTGTGCATGGTACAGGAAGATGAGGTAAAAGCAGCACGGAGGGACTGGAGCCACCTCTGGTCCTCAATCCAGCATGGCTTTGGCACAGTTGTAGATCCTGGAGTACAGCAGGCTTTTGAGGAAGTTGCAAATATTCAAAAGAGTTCCTTGGTCTTGTTTCCAGCCTGTTCAGAGGGGCCCCAGGAGAAGGGCATGGCTTGTAGAGGCAGGGGCCAGCACTGCTCTTGGTGCCAGGAAGGGACTGTTGTCCCAGTGCTGGGGCTACAAGTCAGAGTCACAAGGTGGGCTTCTTCCCCAGTGCTGTCCATCTTGCTCATCCTCCAGCACATCCCAGGGATTGTTGTAAGCTCTACTGGAGCCCGACCCAGCCTCTGTCACAGGGGTGGGGGGCAATTTAGGAGCCCTGCACTCCTTGCTGCAGTGATGGAAGCTGAGGGCGAGGGCCAGCCCGCCCAGGATCTCCAGACAGCTTCCCAAATAGCTCAGTACCAAGCTGTAGCCGACGGTCAGAGTGCTGCCAGACGGTGCAGGCAGCGCCCACAGCTCCTGCGTGTACCAGGAGCTGGGCACGAGGCTCATCAGCCCAGAAAGGAGCAGCACCAGCCCTGCCACACCGGCCACTGGGTGCCGGGGCTCCGGCTGCCAGCAGCGAACGCCCAGGGCAGCCACCACCAAGCCCAGCAGGGTGACCACCAGCGAGGAGGGCATCAGCCCTTGGGCCACCCGCACGGGCACCTGCTCAAAGTAGCCCAGCTCGTCAGCCTGCCCGCACAGGCGGTCATGGGTGCTCTGCCGCTCCCTGCATATGTCCCAGATGCCCTGCTCCCAGACGACGTCCATGGGCTGGTCAGGTATGAGGCTCACCTGCCTCCAGCTGGGTGCCAGCGTGCCCGTGAGTGTCAGCAGGAGCCCGCAGGGGCACAGCACCAGCCCCACGATCATCTCCGTCGGCGTCCGCATGCTGGGGAGGTGGCGAAGCGGGCTCCAGAGGGCTCCCGCTCGCCCGAGGTCCGCGGGGGCTCGCAGGACAGGAGCTGTGGCACCGGGGCAGGCAGGGTGGCGGTCCCGCAGCCCTGAGGCGGTCCCGGAGCCCTGAGGCGGTCCCGGAGCCCTGAGGCGGTCCCGGAGCCCTGAGGCGGTCCCGGAGCCCTGAGGCGGTCCCGGAGCCCTGAGGCGGTCCCGGAGCCCTGAGGCGGTCCCGCAGCCCTGAGGCGGTCCCGCAGACGCGGTCCGTGAGGCGGGCAGCCCCGGAGCCGCCCCAGCCCGGCCGGGCCCGGGGCGGTGCGGCAGGAGGCGGTGCCGGCGGGCGGAGCCCGGGCCGGGCGGGGCTGGCGGCACCTGCCGCGGGGACGGCGCCTTTCAGGGGCGGGAGTCCGGCTGCCGCTGGCCCCTCGCAGGTGGCGGGATGGGGGCCGTGCCCGGGCTGCTGGGGCGGCATAGGACCCTGTTACAGCTCCCTCCATTAACTGCGTGTCAGCTTATTTTGCTATCAAATTAATTAACTAATTAATGAAAATAATTAAGATGAAATGCTGGCAGATCTCACATTTGGTAACTGGCCCAAGAGACCTCTCCATCTCCCTCTCCTTCAGAGAGAGCTCCTGAGCTTGGCTTTCGGCAGGAAGAGTCCCTGGGATGTCTACTGAGACTGGTACGGGAAATCACCGCACTTGAGAACGCCACTGGGGGAATCTGAGCCCCAAAAAGCACTCGTCTTGGACCTTACCAAATTTCCCTGAATTTCTGCCAGTCACACTAAGCCCAGGAGAGGGCAGCATCCTCTGTGGATCGGTTTGGGATGAGCAACGCCGGCTGAACTGGAAGGCTGGCTGCCTGTGTGTGCCCCACGGCACCTCTGCGCTGCTGGTTCCTGGCCTTGGAGGAAGGAAGACCTTCCCCTGGAGGGCTGGGCGGGTCTGTGCTGGACCAGCTACCCCCGGCTCCCTTCCCCACTCCTCCGTCCCACGGCTATTTCCCAAAATCCTGAAGCCCTTCAGCTCTCTGGAGATCATTTTGGGGAGGGATTTTGAAGTTGTTGAACACTGGATCTTAGTCTAGCTGGAAGGCAGGGGTGGGTTGGACTCAGCAAAAGTCTCATGTCCCCAGCCACATCTGCAGAGCAGCCAGATTAGCATAGCTCCAGAACAGGAACACCTGGCTTTGTTTTACGCAGCCAGTAGCTTGCTTAAACTTGGCACTCCTCATCTGGGAAACTAAGCTAGGGGTTGCTGATTCCTTTCCTGTCCATTTGACTTCTGTAACTTTTACCCTACTCCAGCCACCGACTCTGTGCCAAGACACTCACTACTGCCCTGGCAGCTGTGGGTCCAACCAACACACCAAATGCTGCTGGCCTGATGTGTTTCCCGAGTCTGCCTTCTGCCATGGGATCCCCACATAGGAACAGGTGCTGCAAGCCTGAAACCTGGAAGTCCTGACTCTCGTGAGCTGTACCTGGACATCTTTCCATCTGGACACCAAGTGGAGGTTGGCTGTGAGATGTAGTGCTCCTGGAGGAGAGTGGGGCAGAGGGAAAGGGCTGGTAGCAAGCTGGGTGGCACAGTGCCATGGATGAGCATCTATCAGTGCCCTTTGCCTCCTCTCAGCTCAGGAGGTTTTTACTAAGGTGACAAATCACAGCTTGGTGGCAGTGCTGTCAGGTATAGCAGTGGTTGCCCACGAATCATCCAAGCCAAGCTGTGAGCAGGTGATAGTAAGCCCTGAGTCCTGCATGGCCAGCCAGAACTTTTCTCTCCATCCCAGATGTGTGGGTGGGGTGTGCACCAACCCTGATGGAAAGGGAGGAATTCTCCATTTTGTTGGATTTGTCCACATTTTACCCAGAAAGACTAAGAAATCTATAGGGTAATGCCCACCCTGGGCTTTGCAGTGCCTGCCCTAGGATCCCGCTCTGTGCAGCACCTTCCTTTTTCTCTCATCTGTTCCTCCCACAGTGCTGTGCCTCTCTTGCCTTTGCTCATGCAGGCTTGAGTCTGGGAGGTGGCCACTCCTTGGATCTGCAGCTGTAGCAGAAGCTGGATCTCAGGAGTATCACAGTTATGAACCAGGGCATGTTTAAAAACCTTGGCCTTTCCAATTTATTAATAATGCCCAGGAGGATGCATCTGCCCTTTGGGCTGATGCCCAGGCTCCTGACTGTGGGACAATGATAAGCAGATTAGGTGATATGGCCCTGATGCTGGATGACCTGCCCTGAGTAAACTTGGGGGAGGAAATGGGATTAACAGAGCTGTTTCCCGTTGCCACAAAGTTATAGATTGTTCATTTCTTCTCTTTTACTTTCTAATGAGGTAGTATGAAAAGCAATTCAAAGAAGTGCCTGGCCCTTTCCAAGCTCTGAGGAAGCATTTAAAGCCATCTGGCCTCAGAGATAAAATGGTCTGGCTGAAACTGCCTTCCTTCCCACATTGCCCTAGCTACTGAGTGGGAAAAGCCACCTTACTTGATGTTTCCTTCAAGGCTGTGACTTAGTTTTTCCTACATTGGCATGTCACAGTCATCTCTTTAAGAATGTGATGGAAACTTTATCCAGGCCTGGTTGAGTTGGCTTGCATTTTATTGCTATTTTTTAACACTCCTTTGTAAATTGGAGAAGCAGCAGAATGCCTTGAGCTAATTTGACCTGGAAAAGATCCAGGTCAGGAAAGTCAGAACTTGAGACTGATTCCAAGGAAGAATTTAAAAGAAAAATCATTATGAGGTACTTAGTGTTGAGTTGCTTCTTCCAGCCTTAGATACCCTGCATCACTGAAGGCTGGGAATGAAGTCAGGGCAATATTCCTGTGTCCAGCCTGTTCCCTGCCTCTCTAGCTGTCTGCTTCCAGCCCTGGTGGTGATGGCACCCTAGACTGGACAAGTACTAGTGTCTCTCAGATGACAGTGTGAGGTCAGTGTGGATAGGACCAGTAGCTTTTGGGTTACCCCATTGTCACACCAGCTGAGCAGAATTTGCCTGATGCCAGCAGTGGCCAAAGAACACATGCACACAACAATCTCCACAGATCACTATGTAATCCATAGTCTGATCAGACTTCTAGGCCCAACTGAGCTTTCAAAATGTGGCTCTGGAGAGAAGAGCTTCCCTGCACAAAGGTAGCTCTGCCCCTGCATTGTAGGCACTGAGACTTGGGACATGGGGGTCCTTTTCAAGGAGGTTACTCTGACTCCCTTCCTCAGCAGCAGCAGGATCTCTCAGCATCCTGTTTGCTGTGTGAGGAACAGTTGGGGCCATGGCTGTTTAGCAGGAGCCTGCAGCTGGTAATTCCTGTTTACATCCCACTGACCCTGGGGCTTTGCCTGTGTCACATATGGCAAGATGGCCCCATACCACCACAGTGCCTGTGTGTCCTGCAAGTTACACTGTCCCTGGTTCCCTCTTGGGTTCAAAGTGGGCTTGGCCCATGCTGGACACCAAGCCACAAGGCTGCCAGGTCTGTGGACATGTGCTGTGCTACCCTGGGTTGCCCCAGGACTGGCAGGTAGCCAGCAGGCACAATACTTGACCCTGGCTCTATATAATTTATCTTCTCTCTCACTTGAGGAGAATTCACTTTGCAGAGTGTGGCAGTCACCTGTGTCTTGCCTGATGTAGGAGATGGGAACTGGTTGAGAACAGTGCCTGTGCAGGCAGGACCTGCACTTAGGGGGCTGCAACTTCCTCTGGTCTAGACATTTATGTCACTCCACTATCCATCTGTGTTTGCCTTTCAGTTGAAACCCTAAATCCCTGCAGGCTGGGATCAAAGCACAATGGCTCAAACAACACATGCTGCAACTTTTAGCATTAGACCTGGTTGTCTAAGCCTTTCCTCAGTCTCCATCTTTAGTCAGGTGTCCAGGTTGAATGATTTTGTTCTGAGCATTCCATTTTGCTGCTTTTTCTTCTAGTTTTTTCCATGGGGCAATTTCTAAGAGGGCACACTGAGGGCTCTCCTTGCTCTCTAGGCATGGACCCTGCAGCATGTGAGTGCCACTGGAACACGCTCTGCATTGTGCAAACAGCTGCAGTTGCGATGGGCTTCTCCCAGCCCAGCTCCCAGCTTCCTCCCTGGACACACACACTGCTGTCTTTGTGCCTGCTGGGAGGCCAAGGACGAGTCGCAGGCAGGACAGGGTCTGTGATCCCCCTGGCTTATTGAACATGGGAAGAGAGATCTGTGTGTGCTCCCCAGAGCACAGACAGCAGTGGTCAACACCCAGCAGGCAGCTCCATGCCCCAGCTATCCAGCCTTTGTGGTGGCACTTCCACAAGCAGATTTATTAGCTTCCACTTGCCTGCTGACCAGCCCACCTTACCATAGTGGTAAGAGCAGCCCTGAAGATGCACTCCAGGGGGGTTATCAGAGAGCAGGGATGTGTTGGGCATTAAAGAGCTTGCAAGCACCCATACTGGCAGGGCTCACTCCAGGGCTGTGACCCAGCAGTGGCTTAACATACCCAGGCCTGTGGCCATTGCAGTTTTGGCTGTTCCCCCTGCTCAAAATTCAGCATGAGGAAGCTGCAATTTGGGGTCAGCATCCTGTAATGCCTACGGGGAACAGTAAATCCATCAGTGAGCACTGAGGCTATTCCTGCTCTCTTTCTGCAGCCCAGCTGTGAGTCTGAACACTATTCAGACTGGATCCTGGGAATGAGTGTTGAAAGCCTTATTAGATGCCCCCCAGGTATTCACTCATCTGTTAACCAACCTCCCTCACTTTCTAAACTGCTGCACTTGGACTTGCTAGATTGCCCAGTGCTGCTTTCAGTTTTGAGAATGATACAAAAAGCATTTTTACAGCTATATTTATTTTTGTCTGACTCAGTCCTGAAATGTTTGGGAGTAGTTTAGACATGAAGTTCTTGTGCTGGGTTTTGGAGGTGCAGCCCTTTTCAGACAAGAGTAAGAGAGCAGTTAAAGCTGTGTCTGGCTGTGGAAACTGCATGTTTGTCCAGTTCCT